TGATGTTGTAGCCAGCATTATGTTTTCTGTACGTTTTTGATTCTTACACAACAATCACTTTGCCTGCTTCTCCTGTTTTCTCATTTACGACTCTCGTGTTCCGCACATTCGAGTGCCGTTAGTTAAACATCGTATTCTACCGCAATTAAAAGTAGGATATAACAGTATCAATCTAGTGTAAACTGCGATTTATTTTGTATTGATCTTCAGAATACATTTGATAATTCCACAGTAACGTCTAATCACCCAATTTTGATACACGTGAAATCGACGTTTGAAAATAGCTAATTTCCAAATGATTGATTGTATTACCATGATGTGATGTTTGAATTAAGTAATGATTCTTTCGTACTTGTTGAATGCTTGATTTTGAATTCTAAATACAGTACATTCGTTTGTGGTTATCTAGTATTTCTTGATTCGATTACGTTATTTCTGAGATTCTTAGTTCATACTATAATTCAACTAATCCGAAACATTATACATGACTATCAGAAATCATGCATACTTGAGATTAAGACGGTCCGGTAGTGAAAAGATAAGTTTAAGATGTTCAGGTTCTTAATGTGTTACATCATTGTGGCAGTTCGGATCTAACTATCTGTTCACTGCGTCAGAGCCACACTTTTTGACGTGCTGAAGGCAAAATACAACAATCATCAGTAGCACAGGCCTCAAAACTGAGAATTTAAACCAGAATCAGATGAACCAAGGTTATGAACACGTACTGCTGTCTGTTAAAGAATTTGAAACCAAGTGCGGACAAACAGGTAAACCACAATGTTTAAATTAAGATCATCAGAGATAATATAACCGGAGAGCTTTACGAGGGTTAAAAGAAAGTTACTACAATAATAAGTGCAGAAAATTCAATTGGTTTGATTATTTTATGAAACCACACAACAAATAAAAATGACCTACACCATAAGTTTAGAAGCTGTTAGAAACTTAACTGTGAAAATATGTTGAACACAGTGTGGACAGACTTCATCATGCTCGATCGTGCTAACGTCCTCGATAAATGTGCCTCTGATAGTGGCTCGTGTTATTTCTAATCTTGACAGAATGCGATTGAATTTCGTTTTCAGTAGGAATGTCCACCAAAGAACAATCGATGTTTGATCTGTTCATTGTTGGTGAGACAGTTGTAATTAATGTCGTCTTCTAAAGGCCATCGTTGTTTCAGTGAACCAAACTTAACTTTCAACCTACATCACGCTAGTCATACATTGTACATAATATGATCTTGTGTAATATACATAAAATATTTCTTGTAAACGTTGATTCACATTTTGGTTTTTCAATTTCATTTCAGAATACCGTGGACGTAACCAGATCGAGTTCATGATTGTCGAGACACTGTTACGAATTGCTTCCTGTAAACGTACAAGGAAAATCTCTTTACTGTACAGGTACTTCATGGTTCCGATGGATACTTTCGTTAACAACACGCTAATCTTATGATCGTGGCCGAGCATGCTTTGAAAACATTATCATCCTACAATCAGAACAAATCTAAATGCTGATGACAATATCAATTGAAGTTAAATCATTTGTAACAAACATGTGTTCTGCCTTCGATACCTGTCACTTTCAAATTTAGTCTCGCGTTGTGATTTTGATTTGCGTAGCTACAGAAAGGTCACAACACTTTGTAACAGTACGTATTATGTGTTTATATAATATCTACATGACATTTGAGGAACCGTTTCAAATATATACCTGAAAGTCATGCTCATAGCGTCATATAGGTCAGCAAGTAATGGCAGTGCATATACAAATAGTGGGAAATATATCTTAGTGAAAGGAAATATGACAAAATCGTGAAAATGTTGTACATTTGTTTGTTGTCTTTATCAAGTGCACTCATGTAGGCAACCGGTTTTACACTGAGCACTTTTTAACACGCACTATGGTTCTCATTTCGAACATATTTCGTTGCGGTTACATGTATCAGTTAAGGTTAAACTCTGATGAGAATGTATGAAATCGTATTGCTTTATTACAATGGATCTTAAAAGAAGAAAAATATTTAACTGAACAGAAAATCTATTGGTTACCTACTAGAAGACACAATATGTTTATAAGAGTATATATGAAACAAACAAATCAAACCAACAACTAAGTAGTTTAGAGACAGAATTTATTCAGTTTTATATGTGCTCAACAAAATTGCTACAATCAAGCGGTGGGAATATTAATGTCTATTGCTTGGCGGTGAACGTTATTAAATCTCTCCAGGACTAGTGACAGCAAGTTACCAAATAAAACAAGTGGTCTTTACAATCAAGGAGCTTGTATCGGTAGAAACAGGAAATTCCGTTCACTTATCACAAAAACACAAAATCGCTTCAACTGCTAATATTGTCTTGCTGTATGTTCATAGGCTATGTGCGGATAAAGTATTACATATTCTTACACAACAAATCAGTTATCATAATTTTTAGATAGTAAAGCTATGCTGAGAGATTATTTCGGTGAAGCGAATTGAACGACACGCTGATTGAGCTGTAATAACCTCTCTCAGTAAGTGACCTGCATTTCTCTTTTCATAATTAGGAGATTGTTTATTAGTCTTCTCCTTCGTCATTCATCATTGATTCTTATGTAAAGAAGAACTTCAACATGTTTTGTAAGATGAGGAAAATGGCTGATTTTTGTTCACCTACTGACGTAATATTCTAATGCAGTGTGCTTCTGGTTGTAGTGCTTACAATAAGGGTGTTACTAGAAAAATATTTTGCGAATCTTCTATGATTTATTGAGAACCTCTTCAGTACCACAAGATCTTCATACGAAATGTCCAAAACTGGTTCCACGGGTCTCTTCGATGCAGAAACTAAATTACTTAGCAGCATTAAACGTGCGCCAGCTTAAGTGAAAAGTACATTTTAAGAGTGACATGATGTTAACAGTCTAGTAGAAACATCATGATACTCTTCAGTCTCATTGTATATCTATGATTTGCATAAATTCCAGTCAGGTAATTCGGCAATTGCTAAACTTCAGAAACCTATTTAATTGTGCTTTAAATAACGTTCTAAATATATGCAAATATGTGGAAAGCGTTTTGTTTTCGTGAAGCGACAATTCTTCTTACAAGTCACAAGGTTGATGATGTTCCTGCCTCCCGTGTCACGTTTTCTAAAACATATATCAGGAACGCCATCGTCAAAATTTCAACACACAAACGACTTATTTGATCCGCACATTTATATGGATATTGTAGAAACGAAATTTCGGAATAATTCTTCCACTGGATTAAAACCATAATGTTCTCGTTATTTGACCTGTCAGAATCGATTGATCCGACTGTAAAAATCAAATATTCGACTTCATTTACAGTACTAAAATGTTTATTATTTGAACAATTGAAGTGATACATTACAATAGTTTTCATTATGGAATCCATTAGACAGACAAACGAATACTTTTGCACACACACTAATAATGTTTGCTTCTAAAGAATACATTTGCGCACAGGATTCATTATCGAACCACTTTCACATTGGTACGTTTCTGAAAATCCTTGACTGTGTTTCACAACATCGTTCACACTGAAAACGAAAAAATTGGAATGAAATATGTAGAACTATCAATGGAAAACTTAGTGTGCTATTGTGATAATTCATTCATGAACACACTACACAGTATTTGTTGAAATGCATTTCATGTGAACGATTGTAAGCTAAATATTTGCATACGTTGACGCACACAACCATATATGCACTGTTTAAGCCACAGTTTAAATAAGTGAATGTTTGTAGTATTAGTCTTGGCTGTATTAAGTAATCGGGTAAAAATTGTGGATTACATGATAGATTTGACAGACGGAAACTGACTGACAATATTTTAAACATCATATTATGAAAATACAAATGAATTACATGTATTCGTAGTCTTGGATAGAAGACTGTGATTTGCGATCAATAATAGGTGATAATAAGCCGCCACACATCATCTTCAGTTATTAGGAATATGCGAAAAAAAGAAAATAATGAATAAAGTGTATTATTACATTGTAGTTATAATTCATTGAAGATAACTAACAATCATTTCAATACGTCATGAGACACGAAAGTTATTTCTAGAAAACTAGAAAGAAGCTTTGAACCGTGTTTTCCTACAAATGAAGATAAAAGACGCACTGAAACACTTTGTGATCTATTGTTTACTCAAACAAATTAGCCTACGCCAAAATCATCTTATTCATTTTTGGTTCTGTAAGATGTGACATGTTTGTTGTATCATAGTGAACCACTGTTTTTTTTATAGTGTTATTAGATCTTGAACGGAAGGTAAAATCCGACTCACACGTCCGCGTCGTGCCTCCTGGATAGTGGGACGAATGACTCATGTACTAACGTGAGCGGTAACCCTGGTGGTGGAGTCCGAGCTAATCACCCACTCTTACCGACACCCACCAATCGATTACCAAACCCACAGAGAAATATAGCACAATTACATTTGGAATCGAAAATGACAAAACATTTTCGAAAGTGGTGTATGTATCATATGGAGTTGCTCGTCATCGGGCATACTCCAAAGGATTGCAGAAACAAATATTCTGGCCCCGGTAGGTGTGTCGTGCTTCCATGTGGCCTGTTTCTCTCCAGAAGGGTCTAATAGGTTTCACCAACTTGTTTGTCTGAAAAAAGGGTGAAGATTTTGCACCGGGGCTGTCATGGATGAAAATATTCATTATGATTGACATATTAAACGCTGAAAGTGAAACAGATTGACCTAGTTGAGCCTGTTATCACCGACTGCTTGAAAATCAACCCCAAAATACTAAAATCATGAATTCCTGGTACGTCTGTCTGCTTTGGAAATTTACAAAATTGAGTGTATTTTATCTGTATTGTTGTAGCTGAATCCAGCCATCAGAAGAGACAACTTAGGTTGAAAAGTTAGATAACGGAGCCATGACGACGATTGAAAGTTTCAACTTTTCTGTTCACCTCCTCAACAATCTCTGTTCCAGGTTGAAATTCTCATGGGACACCTATAGATTATTCCGTATTATTCGGTCAACAAAATCTTGTTAGCATAATGAGAATTATTTAAAATCAGTCAGTCAGTCAGTCAGCTACAACGTAGGACCAGGCACATGTATGCATCGGCCCAGGTTGCCATACCTCATTAGCACAGCAAGATGAACACTGGATTCATAGGAGTGGTTAGGTCAAAGGTGGTAATATATAGGAGAAAGATTGCAATAAGGATATAGTATAGGAAGAAAGAATTAGTTCGTAGAAAGAAAGATATGAAGTGATTTTAATCTCTTAGTTTAAGGGAAGACAGGGAGTGTATACACCGACGCCATTGTGATCGATTCTGAGCCATGTCACCAAGAGTCTCCAACCATTGGTTACGAAAGTCACGCGGACCCCAACCAAGTAGTCTGCATCTACCAACATGGCTCAGACTAGAAGTTAGTGACTTCAGGCACTGATGCCACGTTTTGGTTTGGCCGCCCCTAACTTTCTTCCAACCATCCCCTACACCGGTTAGCATTGCACGTCGCGGTAATCGGTGTTCAGGCATACGTAATACGTGGCCCAACCATCTCAGTCGATGAAGATTCATAACCTCATCAACTGATTTACCATCATTCCCTAATACCCTGCGTCTAACCTCACTATTACTTACCCGGTGATCCCAGCAGATGCCAGCAATATTTCTAAGGCATCTGTGGTCAAATACTAGTAGCTTACGGGTGTCTTCTACTCTTAAGGGCCATGTTTCGCTGCCGTAAATTAAAACAGAACGGACAGCCGCGCAGTATACTCGTCCTTTTATTGATAGACGGATATCTCGCCTCCGCCAAAGGTGACGTAAGTTGGCAAAAGCCAAACGAGCTTTACGAATCCGTGCTGAGATTTCGTCAGACACCAACCCATTAGGGCTGATCAGACTTCCAAGATAAGTGAAGTTGTCAACACGTTCGACTACTTCACTCCCTATCCTTAGTTCAGGTGTTGACGCAGACCAGTCCTGAAGCAACAACTTGCATTTAGAGGGAGAGAAGCGCATCCCAAACATTCTGGCATTGTTGCTTAGTGCTACCAGAAGACTCTGCATTTTGTCAGCGTCTTCACCAAACAGGACTATGTCATCTGCATATTCTAAGTCGATAAGTGGACCTCCTGGAAGGAGATCAATACCCGAGAATTCAGTCGACGAGAGTGTTATTTCCATCAATAGGTCTATGATGAAGTTAAACAAAAATGGAGAAAGTGGGCAGCCTTGACGGACACCACTTGAGGTTGTAAAGGTAGATGACAGTTCGCCATAAGCCCTGACTCGACTAGTAGTGTTCGAGTAAAGAGCCTTCACAAGGTTTATGTACTTCTGAGGTACGCCTTTCAATGACAGACACTGCCACAGAGTCTCGCGGTCTACAGAGTCAAATGCTGCTTTTAAGTCAAGAAAGACCACCATCGTCGGACGCCGATAGGTATGCCTGTGTTCTAGAACCTGACGAATGGTGAATATGTGGTCGATGCAGCCACGACCAGGTCTAAAGCCAGCTTGGTTCTCTCGTGTTTGTAGTTCACGAGTCTTAGTTAGGCGTTTGATAATTATCGAGGCCAGTATTTTAGATACTATGTTTGTTAAACTAATCCCTCTGTGGTTGTCACAGGATGATTTTGACCCTTTCTTATATATTGGGACGATAAGTGATTGCGACCAGTCAGATGGGATAACGTCTAACTCCCAGATTTTAGCTAAAATATTAGTCAACCTAATCGCTAAAATTGGACCACCATCCTTAAAGACTTCTGGAGCCAGTCCATCTGGACCAGCTGCCCTTCCTCGTTTCAGATTAACTATAGCCTTCTCAACTTCAGCAAGAGTTGGGGGACCTACTTCAATGTTCCATTCACCTTGTCTGGGAATGGAGGGTAGTTGTAGAGTAGCTGAAGGCCAGCTGAACTGTTCTCTAAAATGTTCCGCCCATCGTTCTAAACGTCTGGACTGGGAGCAGATGAGAGTATCATCTTTTTCCGAAATAATCTCACTTACACTTGACTTATTAGTTCCAGTTTCTTTTATTAGTCTGTAAAGCTGTCTTGTGTTCCCTATAGTCGCCGCCTTTTCCATCTCTTTTGCTTTCGTTACCCACCACTGCTCACGGTCGTTCCTTAGACTTTTTCTTAACCTAGATCTGATTTGTTTACGCTCTTCATCATGTTCAGAACCTGATGGGACGAGTTTGCGAGAATCCATCAGTGTGACAGACCTTGAAGAAATCCACTGGTTCCTTGTAACTCTGTGGTTTAAGTCACTAACAGATGTCACTGCTGTTTCCACAGCTGCTTGTATGTCCTTCCAAGCAACATCTGGGTCAGCCTCGTCTTCACAACTAACTAAGTGTGACCTCAGTTGTTCCTGGAACCTACTTTTGGTTTTCTCGTTACTCAACTCAGTTCTAATGGGTCTTTTTAATGTGGCTTTTTTGCGTCCATTGAGGCGCAAGCAGATGCGTGCCCGTATTAGGGCATGGTCGGAGTCCAAGCAGGTGCTCCAGAATGAACGACAATCTTCTACCGACCCTCTCCAACGATGACTGATGGCAATATGGTCTATTTGAGTCCATCGTTGGTTTGGTGTAGGGGGTCGCCATGTTAGACGATGTCTCTCCTTATGCTTAAAATTTGTGTTTGCTAAAAATAAACGATTGTCTGAGCATAGCTGCAGCAGACGATCACCATTATCTGTTCGCTGTGTCGGAATACTAAAATATCCACCTAAATGCCTTTCTGTTTGGTTTAAACTGCCTATCTGAGCATTAAAATCACCTGCTACGAGTACTATGTCTGAGCGTTTAGCTTTCTGAAGAAGTTCGGATAGCTTTCTGTAAAATTCATCTTTCACTTCATCTGAGCTGCAGTCAGTGGGAGCGTAGGCAGAAACGACAAAAAGGCAACGACGTGTGTCCCTATCCTTCCGAGTTCTTACGTAGCCGTTCAGCCGAACAGCACATAGACGACTGTTGACGGGGATCCACTCTAGCAGTGCTTGTTCGGCCCTTATGCTTAGTGCTATGCCTACACCTGCCAGTCCACGAGAACTTGCCATCGGGTCACCGGACACACGAAGGGTGTATCTCGTTGGCTCTCCGTCTTGCCGAGGTGAGGTCAAGTGAATGACCACACTGGAATCCTGTATGCGTGTTTCGGAGACACAGCATACATCAATGGAAAGAGACTCTAGGGTTTTAGCCAAGGAAGCCTGCTGACCGATTTGACATAGGGTGCGTACGTTGAAGGCTCCAATGTGTAGTTTGGAGCGAGGTTTCAGTAGACCTGGGACAGTGTTTTGCGCACTAGAATCGTTGGCTACGGTGACACTTGAGGTGGAAGCCGAGAGAGGAAATACAGAGTTGAAAGTCGATGTAGGAGGAATAATAGGAATTGAAGAAGGAGGTTGATTATGAATACAGTGGTCTTGAGTGCTGTTAGAAGTATGAGGGCGGTTATCACTTCCCGGTTGCCCACACCGTGGAAGGGTTGTTCTGGAGGTACCTGAAAAGGAAATTGGATTAAAGGTGGTCTTAGTGAACTGAGAGCGTGACCGCAGTGCCCAAGGGACAACTGCTTGAGGTCGGTCACACACGACCTTGTTATGGGTAATTTTTGTGTTAGCTCCGTACTTATTGAGACCTTACCGCCGGAGACGGATATCCGTGGGATAAGGCGAGGTGTGCATTTTTAGGGTCGACCTTTTCTAACCCCACCCCTCCTTGTGGGAAGGCAGCATCGCTGTCATGCTGGTTGTCTGAAGGAAACACCTTACTGCTGTCACACCTCTGTACAGTCAGCAGTACGACTTCGCCTTCGGACCTTGGGTTTGTTGCTTTTAGTCTTACCGCTCTTCAACCGACCTGTCTGACATGGTAGGACCTTGAGGAACGGTTGTTCCAGCCAGTATAGCTCGGTTGCTTCATCACGATAGGCAAGCCCGACCACCACGTCAAGGTAGCAACAACGGTCGGGATGCATCTGTGTTCGCACAGTGACTCTATTCAGTTGAAAATGATTTCATATATGCAAAAATGTTATGACTTATCAGCAAACCTCATCATTCAAATATTACCGATCTACTACGGTTCATTTTTCAAGTCGTATACTCTGTTCACTCAAACGTATTTCTATAGTAAGCCTCTTATGTGCATAACATTTCTACTCACAAGATGATTGAAATGTAGTTGTGTTGATATTCTTCTCAATAATGACTATAGCTCACAAAGTTTAACAAGAATCATTGTGAATTGAGTTTCCGATCAAACTAAATTTGAGCGGTCTGCACAACTTACTCTGGCGAATGCTGAAAAAAACATCTTCCTTTCATTTAAGCTTTCAGTATTTCCATTTAAATTTCCTTTGTATGTCTGCAAGAAATGTGAGTAAGTGAACAATATAGAGCAATTTGTATTGGAAATCATCCAACTGTTAAACAAGGCAGTGGGAAAACAAATGTAGGTGAGAGAGGTTTTTTATAAGATCTGTAACACATATAACAGGTTTTCATTTTAAAATTATATAATTTCTTTCACAAGCGAGATCTCACGATTAAGCGGATAAGGCACTCAAAGCATGTTGAAGCTTTAGGTGCTGTATGTAAATTGAAATACAACAACGTTTATTTAATAAATATACATAGTATTCTTTCATCCATTTGAATCTTTCCGTGCCTCCTGCAATCAGAACTTTCTTTCAGTCTTGTTTTCAAGTGTTCTGCCACACTCGTGCTTCTTGTTTTCTGAATGTCAACGTGAGAGATCAGATTCCGTCACAGTTTTTTTTCGTTTATTGTCACTATGCAGACTGAAATTTTTCTCACTAACTCACATTCTTGTATACAGTGAACAACTACTGGTTAATCCGACAATCACAAGCGCATTTCAAATAACAAAAAAAGCATGATACAACGTTTAAATGAGTTTTGTTTCCGCTCTTCGTATTGTCCAACACTTCTGCACTCAAAGAATCTGACACTACATTTCATGCTTATTCGTACCAAGGACATCCCAAAACGCCTTCCACGTTCATAGAAATGACCCCATGAAGATTCATTTATGACTTGCTGATCAGTAACTTCCCCATGCCTTCAATGCGTCCATGATAGATCCTATCCACACCATCTATAAATCACCCTGAATAAGCACTTTAGTGCTTACCTACACTGAAGAACCACCCAAAACTAATCACGGAAAGTCAAATATTTCATGTTCTTCTCTCTGGAATATCAAAAATATATAATCATTTCGTAGTGTTACACAATAACTCAAACACCAGCAAGAGGTATACTGATTGATTTATTCATCACTCTGATGTGAAATACAAGCGTGATCAACTATAAATCGCATTCGTCAATTATTTAGCGAAATTCAAATTCTAACAATGAGATTGCCCGATTCGAACCTAGAGAACACATAGAATACATGTGTCAATTGTGAATGTTAGCGATTAAGGAATCAAGTGAATACTGTGTTATTTAAGTTTACTTACTTCGAAAGATAACATAAGACCATTTATACCAGCTGACAATTTTCCCAAATTCTAGTTGGTAAGAAAATAGTTGAGATTACATGAAATTTCTATAGCGTCTGTGACATATATATCACGCTTTTAGTTTCAGCTTATATAATTTGTTTGACAAGCGAGATCTAACGATTAAGCAAAAAAACACTCAAAGCATTTTGAAGCATTAAGTGCTATTCGTGGATTGAAATACAAGATGGTTACTCATGAGATTGACAAGTTGTTTATGGTTGTGGTACTATCAAAAGATTTCAATTAATTACCTTCGTCATTCTATTTTCATTTTGGAGAAGATATTGAATATCTTAGAGCAGTATTTCACAACTAATTGTCAGATCACTTCTTCGCAAACAACCGCTCATATATGTGATCCACTGCATTTGTTGGAATTGTTAAACACAGAAAAGTTAATTGATTGTGGCAATGTAAGCTTAAAACATCAAGCGAGTCAAAGGTTATCACGTTTCATGGATCCTGACATGAGATTAACTAGTAGCACCTGCCTTTCCTGAACTAACTACATGACACTGTACTAGATCCTCACAAATTCCTATTGTGAAGAAAACACATTTTGTAAAGCGTTTTCTCAATTCAAGCTTTTAATATTAACGACACAAATCGCACAAAAATTGACAACGACAACTGTGAGAAAATAGACGCGGCAAAGCGTCAAGTGTTTTCATTTCGGTCTGAATTTCAACTGAACTCACGTATCGACTGAACAAAATTTCATATTTATTCTTTAAATTGGTATTTCTAGCAAGTTATTGATAATATTATTCACTTCTGGCCTCAAACATTTTTCTATTTCGGTGAAAGACTGATTGATATATCAATCTTAAAATATGTGCAGATGACAAATGCATTATATCTCTGCATTTGATTGCCATATTATTCATTAAACTTTGAATGAATAACACCTTTCGTTTACCAGCCATTTTTGGCATCTAGCTTCAAAATTGAAATGCCGAAGACTGTGTGAAGATTCAAAATTCGTGGATTAAAATAACATTAGAATTTGTCTTACTTCTTTCTGAAGTCCACCAGAGTTGATTTGTGCTGATAAACAACACAGTTGACTTCGGAACGGTGTAGAAACAGTTGATCCACACTCCGGCTGATATTGCGTTTGTTCTATTAGCTGATTATCTCTGAAAGCTATAATGAAAATATCCTGAGTTTTTGAGAATTAATATAACGTGAATTTCAAGTAGGATGAGTACTGTAGAGTTCAAAATTGATTTGAGTGTAATCATATCATGTGTGAACAGCGTTCCTTATATTATTAGCTAATAAGACAACACTTCAATGAAAAACATTACTCTCAACAAGTTAACATGTGATGGACTACAATCGTATATCTATACCCATTGATAATAAATATTTTCATCTTACTGTCTATCACATTGCAGATGCACACACTGACATATCAAATCACTATAGCTACACATAAATTCTACTCGTCACATTCAGAAGAGAATATTTCACCATCAATATTTGAAATATTCAGAATATAAACTTCTGACCTGCACAGGAATCAGTCTTTTTAGACCTCGTAGGATCACAGAAACAGTTCACATACACACACATTTCTCAATTGTTCGTGACCGATTCCCAGTACCTGAGTGCGATAACATGGTGAATCAGAGAGGGGAGGAAGGGATAACTTAAAACATACCTGCAGATATAATCTGTCGACCAAGAAGCCATCCCACAGTACCATACTTTTCAGATATCGAGTGTGATGTATTCAGAAACGGTGGATGTAATAACCCAGAAGTCATAACCACTGTACCACCTCCGTCAATTATAGACGGTTGGAAAGTGAATAAATCAGGTCTAAAAGTTTGTAAATATACAAAAAAACATTTGCTTACTCAGAATGATTCATTTATTTTTAAATCATAAGAAATGAGTGGACGAGTAAACCTGTCATTAAACTAATTTGGTTTTATATCTCTTCATTGATGATGTATCGTATGTTGCTATATACAGTGAATATCCTGTTCTATAGAATGGAGTTCAAGTAGGGTTACCGAATTTAGGAAATTTGAACCATTTAAGCATCATACCATGCAACTATTTGAGATCAACTGTCCTCCGGATGATGGATGCATCTAAAGTTATTTTAGAATAACAACATATTGAATTCCATATTGAATCCCATCAATTAACGTCCGTGATCATATTTGATCACCTAATTAAATGTGTTTACACTTTTATTGATTAGTTGTAAATTTGCCTTATTTGATTACATTAAATCAAATAAATTATACCGTCGGAAGTTTTGTCCCTAATTGCTGTGCAATTACATTACACTGAAATACTGACAAACACGTTCCGTTTTATTCTGGTGTAACGACAATATTCTAACCAAAAGAGGATTTCAATGTTGACTGTCAAATAAATTGAATGATGTCACCCATTTTACCACTATTCATAAAATCACTATTTGAAACATAACCAGTTGTGAATTATGATGCTATAAATGGTGTTTGTTCTATGAACAAAGAGTTTATTTTACATGAGAGTGGGTAGTGATTAAAAAGCCATAGTAACAAAATACAACTCACAATTCGTATCCGTGCGAAGTGGCCTTCAATGATGTTAGAAATTTAGCTTTCATCGAGTAGTATGCATTTATAAGATAGTTATCTGCAGAAAGTTTATTCTGAAACAGAATTAAAATGATTTTTTCATTTTTTTCAAAGTTACTGATTTATTAAATGAAGGAAACCTTAATCGTACAGATGTTTCAACATATCAACTTTCATTTCTTTAGATGCAGAAGTCATTTCATTAAAATTCCATGGTAGGTTCATAAATTAACGACGACCAACTGACTGATAAAGTGGATCAATTTTTCTTAGAAGATCAATTAAAACAATACTGGCATCGGATGTGAACTATATGAAAAACGATGCATACTAAATGATAGTCCATTTCAAAACGATTAGTGCATTTTTTATATTTTCACAATAATCTACATTCTGTTGATGACAGTATAACATACACTGGACAAACATGAAGCAAGCAACTGTGTAGATCATAAACAATTCAAACTTTTGAAGATTGATCTACATATGTTCGGAGATTTAGGTATATTAAGTGGAATAGCTTAATGGCTTATTGTTGTATTACTGGTTTAATTCATTTACTTAAATAATGGTAATTGTTAAGGTTACCCAGGACACATTGAAATAATTTCTCTGAATGATGGCACCTCTGTAGAATAATATGTGAGAACAAGTGAAGTTTCTTTTACTCTCTATATTTCTTTCTTATAAAATGTCTCAAATCAAAATGTAATTCACAGACGTAATAGATAATAAATTACGACAGTGAACACGCAGTGTAACATAAGTTATATGGAACAACAAGAATTGAGTGAATGATCAGTACACAAACCGAAGATTAAAAGTATCAATACTGAACTAAATCACATTTCAGGTTTTGTAATCTTAATGCTCAGCAACATTAACTGTTGGGAAACTCGTACTAGTTTTTTCTTAAATCTTTTCACATATGTTTGAAAGTATTTGTCAATCAGTTTTTTAATAATGCTGTCGAAAGTGAATTGTGAACAAAATCACTCGAAGACTTGTCATTAAAGATGAATACGCAAAACTGAGAACTCGATCAGTACCTCTATAAGAACAAATATCTAAAATACAACGCATTTGAAATTGAAGTTTTGTCTTTACAAATTTACATCACCTCGATAAACTCCACCATGTACAAGTAATTATTGAAATTTATCCGTTTACTGATAGGCGTTCATGAATGTCTGTGATTGTTTCCAATGACCTTAACACATCATAGCTGGATACTTCAGTTTCGGTTCAAGACAGTTTGATAACATGTACGATGACACATTTATATACTCTTCTAGTCTTTCAGTAGTCTTTGTTCCAACTTTTCTTACTTAAGGCTGGAAAATACGATTGTTCGCAATACAGCTTACATTAAGAAACGTTTCGTGTCGACAATGTAAGACTACGGGAGGCGAACGAAATAGACTCTTTTAAGTGAAATAGGTGTAGCGCGTAAAAAAGGAACGTAAGCGATTGAAATCTTTAAGACAAACACTAAGACGTCTAGATGAAATGGACAATGAAGACGCTACTCAGAATAAATCAGTAAAGCTTCGCAAATGAACCATCTAGCTCGACAGATGCAACACTTCAAATTATGGTGATATATAGCTATATATGTTTATGCTGTTCTTTCGACAAGTTGAAAATAATTACATGAGCTGCATGATGAACAGATTGATAGCAAATCTAATATTTTCTCAATCATAAAGACTGAGTTATCTGTCTAGCTGAGTAACTGTTCATTAAGTTAAGGAATAATAAAATATTTAGTGTTGCACTTGAGGAACGTACTTCGAGTATTTTATCTCGGCTTTCGTATCCCTCACTCAAAGATTCTGAATCCATTAATAGTACTTTGATATTGGAAACCTGAATAGTACAATCGGTTATTATTCACAACATCAAAACTAAACAAACCGTTGAAATAGCTTCTTCTTTGTCATCTTCACTGCTCCATGAGCCTTGAGACAATAATTCAGTCAATTTGTGCTTCATTTTGTCAAACATCTGAGTCACCTATTTAGTATAAACAGATATAACGATCAAAGTGCCCAAGTAAAAGAATAAACCTTATCATGGATTGTTCGAATTTTATTACATAACTGTAAAGTAGTTAGGAAAATAATGAATAACGGGAGAATTGATTTACACTCTTTCCTATTATTCAGCATATCTCATAATTGTTCCAGCTGTAGATTAACACAGACTGAGTTAAACCATCCAATCCGATTTATGTTCACAGAGAAAGTTAAATTTTCAAACTACGCCTTACACTATTTGCTTGTTTCTTCAACACAATATGTAAATCGTGTCCCTGTAATAACCTGTCATATTTTCAATTATGGACAATAGGTAATTGATAAATTATTGAAATCGAAACTCACTTCATCTTTTGTACTCTTACTTATACTAGAATATTTATGCTGTTTGTTTATTGTCCACCAGAAATTCTCCTTCAATTCCTGAATGCAAGTTGACGACTTTTCATCTGAAATGTTCGTTGAAATACATCAACATCTTGTTACATGTACTTCAAGTTATAAACAGACGACTTTCAACAATATTAATCGCAACCAACTGAAAGTAACATGACCTACTTCATTCTCAGATCATATGGATCATTGTGTTCATAATTTGTCTACTGTATTTGCATATTTTCCATATACGGTACCGCTTGAAATGATAACACAATGTCATGACCTTCAACTCATATGGAAAACCAAATAAACATGTGAAACGACGAACAATCTGACTGAAGCGAAAGACTTGGTGCTTTAACAAATTTTACCATGCAACATGTTTGGATATATAAGGCTAGTTCATTTGCAAGTAAGTTTACAGGCTGCTTGACCATTTCTCCCAGTTACTTTGTCCAGATTCGTTTTCCGGCTTTCATTCACATAAAGTCAACACATGCATTATTGGATGTATCATTAATTAACAAAACGTCATCTATCTGAAATATATTCGATTACGTTTATTTGTCTTCCATCTGTTTTAAAATCAGCTTACAATAAGTCAATAAATAATTATGTTCATTTAACCAGTAATGGTACTCACCAATATCTGAAGGATAAAAGTCTTCGACATATTTCTTCAAGTAACGTCGCATTTTGTACAAAAATTTATCACTAGCATATTGTGTATATCTCTGCAAGAAACATCACAAACACCACGTACTTCAGTCTTATACAAATAGCATTCAATTTAAAATCGACAGTATTTGTCGTTCGTGAAAGTCGATGTCGATTAATTTCAACATCTAACTTTAACAAACAGACGTGGTAAGGAATGCACACCCTTCGATGAGAAATAAACAAACATAATAGACATTTTTATACACTCTGTGTATACAGTGATCAAAGTGATTTCATCCAGCTCATTCAACAACCTTATCATTTTCAACTAATTTCATCATCCTATGAAACCAACTGTGATTAAAGATTGAGAGGATTTTGTGGATGGTCGTTCGCCTTCAATCCACATGAAGATTGGATACGAACAAAATGATTGGTGCATAATGAAATACATGTCAGATTGTGATCATGTTTTCTGATGAAAATAATATCGTTGTGAGATGGTGGAGAAGATTTGTAGCTCAGGTGGATGATTTTGGTGGAGTTTTGTTCTCTGAGCTGGATGGTTTTGGTCGTGGAGCTTTCATCGTTCTTCTGACGACATCATCAGCACAAACTTCAGATAGAAGTGAGTGTTTGAATTTCTCCATATGTGTCTCAAAGCTTGTTTATAGTAAATTACTTCGAAAGTCGTGTACACGAATGAGAACAACAGAATGCAAACAGGATGTGAAAACATGGTACTTATGAAACCAACTTGTTTCAGAAATCATTAAACTCGACTTTGAGCAAATTACTTTCTTCCTTTTTCTGTTATAATTTTCGAAAAGAGAAATTTACAAGTCATCCTCAAAGCTTCTTTACGTTGAATATAAACTTCCAAATTTTTATACGATTCATGCGCGAATGCATTTTCAAATAAAACATTCCAATCGATCTGGTCAAAATAAATAATTTGAAATTCATTTACAAATTCAAAGAGGCATCTCGTGCGATTGAAGTTACTCTTAATAGAATAGTTTATTCACTGGTAGTATTACACATAAATATCTTAGTTCGATCTAGCCTTCAATCGATCGTTATCTCAAACACCTGAAAACATAGTACAATCTTTATATTCACACACTTGCAATGTGTAGTGATGTACATTGAATTCTTCAAGTTATTCCTGACGACAATAAGTTAGCAAACTACTGCCAAAATAGACCTCATTTTCAACTTACGATTGGACAGATTTGCTCCAGATCACTAATACTAACAAGTGTATCTTCATCAATCGCGGTTTTCTCCTGCACCTAATACAATATGTCCACACGATAAAAAAGTATCAGCTGTATGGTGCGTGACATTAGAAGAAAATTAAACATCACGGTTAAGAATTGTGAATGGTTTCAAAACTAGGTAAACACTAATACTCAGAGTTCTTAGTTTTGACTGGTCCACAGACCTGCAGTCAATATTCCAATTAATTTTATTGATCTAATTATGCAGTCGACTTTATACGACCGTGATCAGTGTTATCAATTTCTCAGACAGCCTCGTGCTTTCAACATTACCAGTGTCGGCCAAATCTACTTAACTATCTGAAATTTATGATCGTTTGTGAATAGAAGGCAACAGTTTCATTTTTATATTTCCGATGTCCAAATCGATTACTGTTTTGTTATCAGCAAGCAACATAACTGTGTCGTTGCAAAGTAGGATATTGAGTGTTCATGTGCTCACGTATTCATGGAAATTCTGTATCATTAGTTCCATCTGATGATTACTGATAATTGCCTCTATTTCACTGGCCAAATGCCACGGTTTTCCACCAACTGAATATATGTTCTTGTAAATGACGACTGATTTCACCTTCTACCAGGTACTGTAAACAGTTTATGATACAAATGTGAATAAACCACATCATATCATTCTCGGTGTACTCACATCTTTTATTTTCGAGTAAATTTCAAAAACACCGTCCATCATATTTTTATTAGTTTGTAGAGCTCCTACGTTTTCTAAATATTTGAAGATTTGTTCTTTGACTTCACTGTCCATTCGATCTGACTGTTTGCAATGAAAAGCGCAAGACATAATATTTTATCATCATATACTACATGCACATAAAAGTTCATGATTTGTGGTTCAAAGTAAAAGAATCAATTTCAAAGTTACTCAGTCGAATAAAAACGAAGATAGTTTAACGAATGACTCTAAGTATAACGCTTTCTGCAGTGATGGTAGGATGGATTTAACTGTCTGTCCTTGTCTTGCTAGTAACAGAGACACTCTACTGAAAGTCGCTAAAGCAAAATGAAGAATAACAGACCAAAATACATCAGCTGTGGCAAATTACATACAGATATCAACACTCGGTATCACCCGAACCAACGTCAAAGTAGAAATTTGACTGGATATCTTCAGTTTGTGACCTATATCAAATAACGATCACTCGATTTACCAAACGCACCTTTACCGACATTCAAAGCTATAAACTTTCTAGTCAAATCTGCTTTCATAGATCCATAACAATGTTTACTGAATTTTTTCTTGTTCGATTTACAAATCTCAACTAGTGAATGTATTCAATCGTCGCAATGATCTACATACTTGTCAAGTTCGATTTTTCTCATTCTGTTTACTCGTGTGTGTACTCTCTCGCATTTCCCATTATTCGTTCAAATAAGCTTAATAGACCGTCTTATGTGATGCTTATCGCGACTAGCAACATAAAAATTGATATCAAGTAAGGGTTTTGTGAATATTATGGTAATTTAGTAGTTGATTCCAAGACCGATAGATCTTGTTTTCGAATCACGGGGACGCGCGTTACTGAGGAGTCCCATTCTAGAAAAAAACAGCCGTCCACTGCTTCCAACTTTACAATAGTGGTCTAGCTTCGATTGACTCGCGACTTCAACCATTGAAATATTCGAATTAAACGAATAATAGAATTTTCCAAATCACTGCAATAAAAACGATTATATCGGAATGTTTGTTTCATCGTACCATGTTTAATTTCTCACTGTCAAATGCATCGAGCGATCCTGGTCCAATCTAGAAGGACAAATTTACATTCACGTTTAGAAGAGTGAAAATGAAAAGTCTCATAAACACAAGTTAGTGTCAGAAACCATCAGTCCTCATTTACAAAATATTTCATTCAGTGTGTGCTATGCACTTGTATGACAGCTCTATTCGCACGTTATGAAGAGAATAAACATGTCTGATTTGCTTAATTAGATGACATTAGTTGCACAATAAAATGGTGCTTCATTATCGGACAAAGATGAACCAATTTTAAATATCAGCAAACAAATTTCGTTTTGTAACTGCACATGTCCATGTGGCCGTCTCATTCAAGTCAGTGAAAATAAGGAATTGAACGAAGTAATTGGAGGTAAACGAATCATTGACAGTTATTTGTGCTGATTTCGTTCATCACGAGTTATCTGAATCTCAACTGTGTCTAGCGACTTAAGCTGAATAAACTGATAGAAACAACCGACAGAATGAAGTCGAACTCCTTCTTTAAAAAAATAAATTTTGCTGTGCTATAGAACAGTGGGCAAATATGCCAAATTAGACTGCAGGACAAACCATTAGAACAATGTACTGGGGTTTATGACTATATGACAGTCTGTAGCCAAACTCGCCAACTGACTACATGAAACGTTGCTCAGGGAAATTTCTTGATCGCTCAAATTCTATTCAATGTCTATCGACATACGCGATAACCTGTTCAGTGATTTTAGGGGTTTCCGGACGAATTTCAGATCACTAGCATTCTAAGTTGAACAGAGCATCTAAACTATGTATTTGGAAGTACATAGTGCATGAAAATAATCAAAAACATGTGGTGTTTGAAATCTTACATAAATCATTGAATTATCCTCTTGAGAATAGTCTCCAATTAGGTTCAAGGAAAACAAAGTGGTTCTTCCACCTTGAAATATCAATGGTAAAATTGAAGCGGTCAGATTGAATTTCCGACTCCTAAGAAATTTTTCTATGAGATTGTACTGCTGTGTGTCATCTGATGACATCAGCCATCCACTGAAAAGTAATTCTATTAGATCAATAACTTTTGTAGTAATGAACTCGTTTTTCACCGAAAGGGCTTCGGTGCATGTTTTGTAGAACATTTCAGCTGCTTTGATACTCGGTACATCTTGGTACTCCGTTATTTCAACTAAAAGCGAAAGAAATTCATTAATTGAGAATGTCATATGGGTTTTAGTGGCGGTTGTTTATTTACTACACATTTACATTGATTGTGCATAAAACGTTAATAGTACATGAAACCTTAAGTGAAATATTAGATATTTAACGAGTTGAACGGTGATAACTCACATTTATTTATTGCAGTGCATCATGCTGTTAAAACTATAAATTATGTCCCTCATATTAGCATTAACTTTCTGGTCATTATATTCATTCAAGCATACCGTCTCATTTCAACAAACCTGTTCAACAATGTTCGGATCCAGTTTTCATAAATTTCTTCTACCATGAGTTCAGTACAAGAGTTGAAAATCAACAAGACGAAATGCGAGTATGACAACATCTAGTTTTTACTCATGAAAACTAGTTGCTTCGGCCTCAATTCTCTAATTCGTTAAACTCAAAACAACCCTACACGGTGAAGTAATAATCAGAAATAGCGTTCATTTTTAAATATAAGTAAAGGTACTGGGATGTGTAATTTCAAACATATTCTGCTTATGAAATGACGATTTTTTTACACAACCATCATAAGTGTATATATACAAAGCTTACGGAGCAATAAAAACCGGCACATACTACATCGAAATCGACAACTTATAACTGTATCAAGTTTCAACAAATGTAACCACTAGACAAAAACACGAAACTCACACATTTTCATGACGACATCGTCTACCGTAATTGTTAGATTATCAGGATGATCAGTTTTATGGTGTTTGTCACAAGTGTATTTCTCGTAATTATCACAGATTGCGTTGATACTATCGTTACTATTATTAGTTGAACAATTATAATAGATGCACAATATCCCTAAAGACGGGAAAACAATAAACAAATTTCATTAATCAAAATAAATCGTGATGCCATGCTTTCAACGCTAGTGAAAAGAAGTAAAGTCACAAACAAATAATTGAAATTCAAGAAAAAAAGTAACGTTCAGAAATAAAGTTTGAATTCTCTAACAATAGAGAAAAATGAAAAAAATAAAGTTCGAATAAGGAACAAAAATCGTCTGATTCAACAAAAAACACAAGAAAAATAAATTTTAAACAAATGAGAAGGGTTAGAAACGAGTTCCATCACAACGAGTTCCGTAGCCTGGAAGAGAATACAGTGGGAGAATTCATGTTAAGCACATCAACATTTCGCTGTTTCATGTGTAGTAATGGAAGAAAGTAGTGGCAACATATCTGACAATGATATCTTTTCGAACAATGCTTGAGCATTTGAGAGTGAGAGGAGCAACTGGAGGATATCTGTGACACAGTTCACATGTTAATTGTTTAGTCGGCTTCCGGAGAACCTCAGCGGAGCCTCCAGAAGCCCAAAAGGAGCCGAAGGGTCCTAGCCAATCAGAGTATGATGGAACGTTCTAGAACTCCAACGTGGCGTGCTACTATTGGTGTTTAGCATAATATTTCGTTAACGGATTGGCTGAAATATGAAGTTGATTTAACAGACGCCAATATCTATAAATCTCTATGATAATCTGTACAAAAATGAAACTTCGGATAAAGTATTTCCTCTCATATTTGTGTATTATCTCTGGTCTTAAAGACAGCGCCTATCAAAATACCTTAATAAACGAATATAGCGTTCGATCGACAACAAATGCAACAGTATATCTTACAAAGAAGCCAGCACTCGACTTAATGGGGTTAGAACTTATAGAAACACTTAAACTAGCAGACTATCTTATTAACAGTATCTGCAGACGAGTCAGTACTGACAACACCTCAGACTTGTACCCTATGCTGCTCTTCCAATAGTTGAACAAGAATTACAACGATTTCAGCAAATGGGTGTTATCGAGCCTGTAAACTTCTCGAATTGGCTGCACCAATAGTGGTAGTCAAGAAGTTGATGGAAGTGTCCGTCTATGTGCAGACTACTCCACGGGATTAAATGAAGCTCTAGAGTCCCACCAGTATCCGTTGCCTGTGCCGGAATATTTTTTCGCTAAGCTGAATGGTGGCAGATATTTTGCGAAATTGGACTTATCAGACGCATACCTACAAATCCTGTATCTGATGAAAGCAAAGATCTCTTAACGACCAACACACACAAAGGTCTGTTTCGGTATAACCGACTACGTTTTGGGGTGAAGACAGCGCCCTCTATTTCCCAGCAATTATAGATACCATGTTACAAGGTATTCCATGGGCAGCAGCTTACTTAGACGACATCATAATTATGGCAGTAGACAAAATGGACCCGCAGAAGAAACTGGACCAGGTACTAGAATGCATAGCCGATTATAGTTTTCGCCTCTGAGCGAAAAAGTGTGATCCTATATGCAGCAAGTACGTACCTTGGGTTCATAATAGATAAAGACGGAAGACGACCAGATTCAGAGAACATTGAAGCAGTGAAAACAATGCCTAGACCCAGGGACATTACTACCCTGCGATCGTTCTTGGGATTGGTCAGCCATTATGGTACCTTCCTCCCCGATCTCCATCGTCTACGTGCCCCACTAAACAACCTACTACAAAAAAATACAAGATGGAATTGGTCTGCAGACTGCCAAGCGTCTTTCGAGAAAATCAAGCAACTCCTGACTTCCAATCTCCTATCGACGCATTATAATACTTCGCTGCCCATAGTCGTTGCTTCAGATGCTTCTAACAATGGTGTGGGCGCAGTTATCTCTCACATTTTTCCTGATGGATCTTAAAAAGCTATCGCACACGCTGCCAGATCTTGACAACGACTGAAGGGAACTATAGTCAGACTGAGAAAGAAGCCCCATCAATTATTTTTGCAGTGAAAAATGTTCCACAAGATGAAATGTGGTCGACGTTTTACCCTAATAACAGACTACAAGCCACTACTTGCAGTTTTTGGGTCAAAGAAAGGTATACCTGTATACACGGCAAATAGACTGCAACGTTGGGGAACTACACTCTTGGGTTTGACTTCAAGATCAAGTACAGCCTACTACTGATTTTGGACAAGCTGACGCTTTATCTAGACTGATTGGCTCACATGTAAAACAGGAAGAAGACACTTTGGTGGCAGCAATCGAGACGGAAACAGAAGTACGCCCAGTATTGGAAGGCGCAGTTGATGGTTTACCAGTTACATTCAAGGCCATCAAAAAGCCATGTAAAGTGACAAGACTTTAAGAGAAGTTACTAAGTAACTTCTCACCAAGTGGCCGAACCGTCGTTTTCAAGAAGAAGTGCTACAAGAATAATGGTACGCCGTCGCACCCTAGTTGTCAAAATACAGGTAGATCCCAGAAAGAAAGCTTGTTCGAGGGAGATGTTAGGTCGGCTTCTGAGAATTTCAGCGGAGCCTCTTGAAAGGCAAAAACGGCTGAACGGTCCAAGCCAATCAGAGTATGATTGAACGTTCTAGAACTCCAACGTGGCGTGCTAGTGTTGGTCGATAGCATAATACTTCGTTAACGGATGGACTGAAATATGAAGTTGGTTTAAAAGACGCCAACACTTATAAAACATATGATAATCTGTACAAAAATGAAATTTCAGATAAAGTATATACTAAAATACTTGGGTATTATCTGATTCACCACAAGCGTCAATACAGATATTAGAGAAGACTGTCAGTACTTACAAAGGTACATCACAGTCACACGCAATAAATTGAATTCCACACTCTCCGAAACAGACGAACAATCAACATCGCTTTCAATGACAACATGAGAGTTACATGTCATCGAGAGGTACAGTCGAATAGACCATAATATTGTGAAGTCGATTAATTCACATACAACCACCACCAAACCATCATAGTTGACGGGAACTAATGTCAATAAACCACACATAGTAAGACGGAAACATCACGATGACAGACATGTCGGCGTGTATCCAATCATTTGTCATCCACTCGGATAATCAAAGTGTAAATATTAAGGGTAAAGCTCTCAAAAATCCATTTCACACGCTTACCTGTTTCCGTTGCTCGTTCAACTCCAGATGAAGTTTCACTTTTGAGTGGCGACGAGGCTTCTTCTGTGAAGGAAATGTGAATCAGGTATAAACAAATAATGAGTCCATTTACAGAGAGGTGACACAGACACTTCGTTCCAACCCTAATCATCATGCATGAAGTTGTGAGTCAGTTATATTTTCTGTCAATCACTAACAAGCACAACCATGTGAAGCCAATTACGAATATAATATAATATACCTGACAGAATCCCCATTAAAACTGTAAGGAATTCGATATTAAATGCATCTAACCTTCAGGATAGTCCATGCCAATGCATTCGACTTAATAAAAAGCACCAGAAATACTCGTGCCCGGTCTTGTTCAGATTCGACTCCCATATACTAGCTGAACAGTTAAAAGAATCTGAGAGGCTAGTCTGCGCGCTTACGAAATTTAGAAACGCTCGTATAGTCTCAGATAAGACCACCAATCAAAGGCTCACCCAAAAACGTACCTTGAACGAAAATAAAGATGTTGAGATCACAACAAACCACGATGCATCAGCTGCTGGATCCACTGATGCAGCTACCTTATCTCATGTTCTCCAGCACTCTGATATACCAACAAAGAATGCTAATTTGCCTGTTATGTCTGTAGTGACATCTGATAGCCAAAGCACATCTATTGACGTCACTAGTCCGATATTACCCAGTTTACCATTAGAAGCCCATAAGCAAGTACTTAGTTCTAATGCTACAACTCCTAGAAACGCTGTCAAGATTAAAATGCCTTTGCCACGTAAGAAGAATGTAAGTATAGAACCTTCTGGTTCTAGACCCAATATAAAAAATACTACAATGACCTTACCAAATAAAAATAAGACTGTACTTCCCGACACCATGTCTCATTTTACGCATCGTAAGGGAGGTTTTAAGGGCAGACTTGGTTCAAATGTCTCACAAGATGGCCACTGCAATCATTATGTAAGCAGGCCTAATATTGGACAGACCAAAATGAACCAACGCACCCTACGGTTATCCTCAAACGTTTTAAATAATAAACCTGTAAGACGTAACTATTCTCAACACTTTCCCATTGGTCAACACTTTCCCATTGGGCAAGATAGATTACTAAGTTACTCAACATCAAACGTTTTAAATAATAAACCTGTGAGACGTAACTTTCCTCAACACTTTTCCATTGGACAAGATGGATTACTAGGTTACGCACCATCAACCCAACCCCAACTGGCAGGTGCCTGTCTTAACTGTCCGCCTAATCAAGTTCAACAAATTAACCCACTTTATCAAAATAATGATTTTTTTGGCCTTCAGAAATCCCTGGTCCCACTAGCAATACAGTTTGTTCAAGCGATAGCCCATACGATCAGTCAAACATAATAAACCACAGTCTATGCAAATCCAAACTACATAACATCAATAGGGAAGCTCTCGGTTTTTTTACACTCCACACTCCCTTTTTAAACTTATTACTTATCAATGCACGTTCACTTCTGAACAAAATTTCAGCCTTGAGAACATTAGCTTTTCTAGCCAAACCTTCTTTCATACTTATCACTGAAACATGGTGCTCTCAAGTAGTATCAAATTCAGAATTAAATATCCAGAACTATCGACTTTATCGCTGCGACAGAGAAACTAAGCGAGGAGGTGGTTGTATTATATATGCTTTGGATACCCTAACAACTAATAAAGTTGAAGATAGTGTCCTGAATAGTTTACCAGAATCAGTCTGGATATCAGTCAACACCCTGAATCATAGTCTACTACTTGGATGTATATACAGAGCTCCTGATAGTCCGAATAGTGGGAATGATCTTATTATCAATGCATTCATACATGCATCCTCTCTAAACTTTAATGCTAAGGTTATCACTGGGGATTTCAATTATCCTGGGATCAACTGGAGTACCGGTAGTTGTCAGTCATGTAATGATGAGTTCTCGGCAACCATTAACATGCACTGCTGGTCACAGTGGGTTCGTGCCCCAACTAGAGGCGATAGTATACTCGATCTAATATTTAGTAGAGATGTTATCCCACTATCTGTAAAAGTATATGATGAATTTGAAAGCAGTGACCATAAGATAGTAGTTTGCGCTCTCCCTATCTATCTCTCTTATAACCCACCCATTCAAAAAACCTGTCAATATAGAGACTATAAGCATGCTGACTGGGACCTCCTGCATTCATTGATTAAACTTTCAGACTGGGACAACTTTTTTTCATGTAATAGTCTCATGGATGCTATCGACGAATTCTATCTGATCATTAACTCTTGTTTAGATTCCAGTGTACCTCTTAAAACGTACAGGTTTAGTAAACCTTACGAATTATATATACCAGCTAAATATCGTAATAAACTAAAACGCCTACAGAATCGTTATTTTAAGTCAAACGACTTCACAGCAGTTGCACAAATAACAATAATTTTTAATCAAATTAAAGAGGAACATAGGTTAAAAGCCATTAATGAGGAGCTGTTAGCCCTTAATACTAACTCGAAAGTACAAAACTTAACTCTCCTTTTCAATAAACGCACTAAAGCAACTCGAAATGTTGATATACCGTGCATCCAGCATAATAGCACTTTTATATACGACTCTAAAACCATGGCCGACCTTTTCAGTAGTATATTCGCGAATGGTGTAGAAAACATAAGTGGCTATGCTTCAAGAGTTATGTGCGTGACTAGCAACTCAATAAAATCTATCTCCTTCACATGCATGAAAATTAATAAGGCTATAAATACCCTTAAGCTTTCGAAAGGTCATGGAGTAGACGGGATTTCATCATTTCTCTACAAATATGGTGGTCCAGATATTCCACTTCTTCTTCTAAAGCTGTTTACTCTCTCTATGGAAACCGGTTCTTACCCTTACTGTTGGAAAACCGCGTACATCATACCACGTTACAAATCTGGAGATAAGACTGACATGAACAATTACCGACCAATAAATATTACTCCAGTTATTTCTAGGATTATGGAAAAAATTATAAGTGATGAACT